ATACGTCTGAGACGATTACGGTGTAACGATTGCTAAAGCGCGTTTCTTCTTTGTGTAGCGTGAACTTTCTAATCGGGTGCAGCTGTTATGAAGAAGTTTCTGTGGACATTTTATTTGCGTAGACTGATAGATATGTAAGTTTACATGAAGGTTGAGATTGCATTTAGAGGTGAATTTTGTGAAAGAAACAGGGATATGATTTTTACATGTGATTATCTTACAGCCAATTTTTGTATGTAAATGGGTTGCTCGAAAATTGGGGACAAAATCTGATTTGCTTGTTCTAATATGTTACTAGTTTAATATATTACTATTGTATTATTCTACTACCTTACAATTTTATTATTTTACTACTGTGCGATTTTACTAATTACATATGTTATTATTATACTGTATCAATATGTTACTGTACTGTTATTGTACTATGATACTACCATATTATTGTAACATCATACTGCAGTACAATTATACTGTCATACTGTTATATTGCCATGCTACAAGGCTATCATACTATCATACTATCACACACTGTCACACCATCATACTATCACACACTGTCACACCATCATACTATCACACACTGTCGCATTATCATACTAGCACACTATCATGCTATCATACTATCATACTGTCATGCTATCATACTACTATATTAATACAATATTATACTGCTATAAGTACTCAAAAAAAACTGCCTTCAAATTCCAGCAGGATTCTACTGCACCCATTTACTTTACCAATGATATTTCATATAGGAACCTGCTGTTTCCTTACAAATTTTTATGAAATTAATGTGCGATACAAATGAAATGTTCCAGAATATACAACAAGCTATATTGTACACGACATTTATTATATTTGGTGTCACATTAAATTTATGCTACATTGTTTATATTTATAAGACGTAGGTGTTTAATTCTACATACAAAGCATATACACATATATCATAAATAAATCAAGACCCAACACAATGTAATTCTTGCTGACTCAGTGGTAAATGTACGATTTACACGAAGTTAATTCACCTCCAACGAAAATCGGGATTGCCTATAATCTCAGCTGAAATGGACCAATAATTTTGACCAGTGTGGTCAGATATTATATTGTCGATGAAAATTCCAATATAATTCCATATCCACCGACTCACACGAAGTTGATCCAACATAGATTGAGGGATATGCCCGTGATCGTAATCGAAAATAGAGTAATAATTTTGACGAGCATAAGCGAATACGTCGCCGATAAAATTCCGATGAACCATGGCGCAACCTCAACGCATGATCTCAGCCATGATGGAACCACGAAAGAGACTCACCTGGCACGTCGAGGTACAAAAGAATCAAAAAGGTTCGCCCCCCTTTCGCTCGGCAGTTACCGGGCACGGACTGTAGCCTCTCCTTCAGCGAGCCGTGTTTCTCTTTCTCTCTCTATCTGGCTCCGTTCCTTCCACTCCCATAGCAGAGGCCGCATACCTCCTTAGGATGCAGTGTAGACCTGTCCATTGGCTGGCAGACATCGGCTCTTTTTCGAAACGGCGACTCATGAAACCGAGAGGATAAAGTCGGAAAGTTGCTGCGGCTCGTGTACGTGCGTCATGAGGTTCAGTGGATACGTGAACGTTCTTTGAACCGGCTGATCGAAAGAAATTGTATACACGTGGTGTGACGATGAGTTGAAACCGTGATCGCGAAGGATACTGGACCGACTTTATGAGGTGAGTTCTTAGAGACCCTTCCGTAGTAAATTCACCAGCAGGGTATTTCGTTTGAAAAGTTTTTAACTTTCTCGAGGGATTATCTTGTGTGACAAAACCGGTTCGTTTGGTGTTTTTCAAGATTTTTGCTCAGATGTTTTTGGCGATGATGGTTTTTAATGGAATGAGTAAAGAGTATGCTAATTTATGTTTTATTGTTTAGTTTGAACTTGGAACTGGATGTTGTTTACTCGTAAAAGTGACGAATTTTAAGTTCCTTTGAATTATAGAAATTAAGATTTTGTACGTTAATTTCTGTTGAGGTAGTTTTCTTTGGTTTCAACTTAAATGTAGCTGGTCATTGTAAGTCTGGTATAACATTGAATCTATTAACCCTTGAGAGATGACTCACATTTTTAACACGATAATCTGATAATGAATATCTATACAGATATTCATTAACTGATAGCGTTGACATGCGATGTACACAGTGAAACAATAGTGGCAATAAATAATTGCAAAATAAGCATGCTATTTATTGCAAAATATATCTGAAAAATTATGGAGCAAAAGAGGACCTGAAGAAGAATTAGAAAAACCTGCCATAATTCACCCATGTACTTCCTATTGTAGGATAATCCTCTGAACCTTTCATATCAATAGTACAAACAAGATAACATCTACCATAGACCGAAGAAAATAAAACTAGAATTCTAACTAGTAGCAATAAAATAAAACAGCAAAGTCCAAATTACAGAATGAAATAATTACAATTAAATCGTAACATCACATTCGTTTTCACATTCGAATTCTTCGTTTCCTTCATTTGACGTATCGTTTCATTGGCATTCAACTATCAATTTCCTGTGTTTTCATTCCAAAGCACGTGTCACGATGAATCTTAAATTCGTGTAGACTCAATCTCGTTGACTACGGTGTTCATTATGAATCTAAATGTGTAGCATGAAGTAGAAGCCAATTGCGTAAAGAAATTCTATACGAGACTGGATCTCGCTAGCATTTCCTTGACCTTTATTCCTAGCTATATTTAAAAGGATACTTGCGTTAATCTACATTGATGATTTTCAAAAGTTACGAGCCGGTATTCGGTGAAAAACGCTGAAATTTTTCTACGATACAAATTGTCGATAAATAATTCATAACGGGATTGAGACAGTATGTTAAAATACGCGGACCTTGCCGAACTTCGATCGTCCGTTTTGCCAGTTCGAGGGAAACCAGTCTGACCGGAGTATGCGTTAATCGAAGTCTCGATTTCAAGGAACCGGTGTCAAGTTCGTGATACAGGAAAAGCTTGAGCTAACATTTGTAACGACTACGGTGATTAGTCGGTTAATTTCCATGCAAAGAGGTCTCTAAACATTCAACTTTCGCGATGGAACTTTCCTTAATAAGTCGAAAAAAGACGGATACTTTTTCCGATAAAATTTCTTACATCGTTTTCTAAGTCTGGTTTCTTCCTTTGGTTGTATGAGGAAGACAAACTTTGGCAAGTATCTGAAACGTATGGTTATATATTTTATTACCACGCGTTATATCGCCGCGCGTTACAATCTCCATGCATTATATTGCAACGTATTAGAATTGCCACGCGTTATATTATAATGCATTAGAGTCACCGTGTACTATACTACCACTCGTTATATTGTCGCGTGTTATATCACCACGCGTTAGAATCACTACGTGTTAGAATCGCCACGCGTTAGAATCACCACGCGTTAGAATTGCCACGCGTTATGTTGTCACGCATTAGAATTGTTACGCGTTATATCACCACGCGCTATATTGCCACGTGTTAGAATTGTCACGCGTTGCATCACCATGCGTTAGAATCGCCACGCGTTAGAATCGCCACGCGTTATGTTGTTACGCATTAGAATTGTTACGCGTTATATCACCACGCGCTATATTGCCACGTGTTAGAATTGTCACGCGTTGCATCGCCACGCGTTACATCGCCACGCGTTAGAATTGTCACGCGCTAAAATCACCACGCGTTAGAATCGCCACGCGTTATGTCGTCACGCATTAGAATTGTTACGCGTTATATCACCACGCGCTATATTGCCACATGTTAGAATTGTCACGCGTTGCATCACCATGCGTTAGAATCGCCACGCGTTAGAATCGCCACGCGTTATGTTGTCACGCATTAGAATTGTTACGCGTTATATCACCATGCGCTATATTGCCACGCGTTAGAATTGGTACACGTTAGCATCGCTATGCGTTATATCACCACGCGTTAGAATCGCCACACGTCATACCACCATATGATATATTGCCACACGTCATACCACCATATGATATATTGCCACACGTGATACCACCATATGATATATTGCCACACGTTACATATCACCACGCGTTATATTTTCATGCATCAGAATCACGTGTTATATCACCAGGCGTTATCATGCGTTTAACCAAACGATTGTCAAATGTTAATAAAAATTTCATACGAGCACGTGATATATGAACTGACAGAGGTTCCTGTTCGCGAATCTCGAAACAAAAATGAACAAATCTCGGGATGAACATGTTAGATATTTTTGAAAAAGCGAATTGTTCCCAATTAAGATGCTGGGGTAAGTGCCGAGAGGTTCAACTCAGTCCTCTTACCAAAGACATCCTTGCCTCTATACTCTGTGGTCAGATCCTTAAGGAACAACGTCCCTATTCGACTAAGCAATGCAATAACAAACTGCCTGCCTTTTTCTACAGTCGCACAAATTAACAAAACTAGCAGCCCTGCGACATCCGACGACCACGCGACTCCAAGTCAATAGCCATCGTCTGTCGCCTCACTTGGACTCTCATAAACAATATTTTGCTTGGACCTCACGCAGCCTATCCCTATCATAAATCGTTCAAAGGCAAAATAGCACAGGCTAATTACCCTCGACGACCCTCCAAAATACGTTGACGCTAACAGACATGACTAGCGAATCCCGGAACAAAAATGAACAAATTTCAGAATAAAAGTGACGAACACAGCTCGTGACAGGATGCTACTTTTCTTAGTCATTCATCCTGGCATCACCTGGTCACACAGTGTCAGGATTCCAGGCGCGTAACGTAATGGTGGTACCGGTGGAAGGGGCTCCGTAACGGTTTTTTTTTCTTCCCCACACCTCGTCCTCGTCGGTGGTTTTCTAGCCTCTCTCCTCGTTCCGCCGCCTTTCTCGCCGATTAACGAGTCTAGGACGTCGAGGCTGTTGATCGTACGATCAACGCGGAACAGTTAACCGCGCGTACTCGTTCGCTTTTCGCGTGCTCCAACAGAAAATCAACGGATGCGGGCTCGGTTCTCAAATTCTTAGTCTTCTCGTTGGATGATTATAATCGTTGCATGTAGTCTTCCGTGCAATGACTCGAGTTGTCGCAAAGTTGAGATTCAACAATTTGGTAAAAACGTTGGACTTCTCTAGAGTCATGGTACGAAACGGTACAGTTGTCTTCTGTCTGCTTGTATAGTACGTATTTGAGTACGTACTTGAGAGGTTAAACGATCGTGTACTGACGTTGCAGTGCGAAATATCATGAAGAGTTTCGAAATCGACGGGCTTTGAGAGCCGGCTGACCGCTTCGTATATGGGGTCTCCCTAAGACACGTGGGACATGGGATTAACCAATGTTGATTTAGTGATTAGTTCCTTTTGCAGTTGCTTCAGGTAGGTGAATATGAACAATGCTGTAACTTTTAATTATAATTAATTGTAATAGTATATTGACTCTATACTCCACATGCTAATTATAACTCCATAATCTGTATACTAATTATAGCTCAATTATAAATAATAGTCACTGATGTGTACACGAGTTGCATTGTTCATATTATGATATTGAGTTATCAGTTCATACATGGTGCCTATATTGTTGGAGTACTTTGTATGGAATTTTTGTAACTTGCTCCTTTTCGGATTGAATAGAATGTTATTGATGGTAGCTGAGATATTTTGTGATATTTGATGAAGTGAAGGTGTGGTTCAATGATGTTTCTGTATCCAAGTCACTTCTGAAGGTTTTGAAATGATACTTGTACGTGATTTCGTACTTCCTACAATCTCTTGTTACAATCTCTCTACAGTCTTTTTGGAACTTTCTAACGATCTCCAGAGTCTTTAGAACGTCCTTTCAATTTCCCTGAATCTTCGTAGAATATCTTTACTACCTCCAGAATTTTCGTAGAACGTTCTGATCTCCTCAGAAGCTTCCTAGAATCTTGTAACCATCTCCTGAGAATCCTTGAACGCCCATGCAATGTCTGCAGGATCCTCATAGAACCTAATGATATATTTTTGTCGTCTTTTGTAATAATAATTTCTTGATAAATGGTAATCATTAATTAATTGCTTTAGAATCCTAAAATCCTCTGCCGATGTCCATAAATTCTGAGAACCTACTAAGAATTTCTCTAGAATCCTAAAATCCTCTGTTGACGTCCCTAAAATCTTAGAATCTACTAAGAATTTCTCTACAATCCTCAAACCCTTTTTTGATGTCCCTAAAATCTTCCTGAAACCTACTAACTTTTCCTCGAAAGTCTTCCTACACTGTCCTTGCATATCTGTACAATTTTCCTAGAACCTCTGAAAATGTGATTAAAATTATTCCAGAAAGTCCTTACTCCATCCCCACACTCTTCACGCAACCAAAGGTATAATGCAACTGCAGCTTTCTCGTGTAAGGATTTGAGCCATCATTCAATTTGATAGCATCGTTTCGTGCCTGATTGATAGTAACTACCACTTCTATTTAAAGATAAGAACGTTGAAAGTAACGTTGACCCGTTATTTCGGTATCTATAGCGAAATAACATCGACCTGGATACTCTAATCGTATTAGTTGCATTTTAATAGCTTGTCAACCGGTGGTCCACTTATATGAAATCAAGATACAAGTTGCTTAGGATTCATGCAACAAAATTTTCGATGTCGTTCAAGGATGTTTAGAAATGAATACAGTGCTTCTCTTGCACCTCCAACAGAGAGATCAATTTTGTCGTTTCGAATTGATTGAAAGTAATGACCACTTTTGTCTAAAGAATGAATGGAACTTTACCATGTCCCATATACTAAAATATAACCGGATCAGATTTAAACAGCAAATTGCATTTAGTGTAGTTACTGGTCAATAGCTCATAAAAATCGTGAGACGTGGTTATAACAATACTTCCATATTTGGTATACTAAGTTGGTAGTTTGTACTATACTATTATTGATGAGGATGTGAGGATAGAGGGATTTAGGGACTTGGAAATCCAGGAATATATGGATGTAGAGAATTAGAGGCATAACTTCTTCATAATTTTTTATAATTACACTCAAATAGATTGTATACACTCAATTATGTTGAGAATTTTTAAGCTCCTCGATTTGCCAACTGGTACGTTGTTCTTCGTTATGCACGCTATGGTATACAATGGATTATTCGCGGTGCGTCATCGACGTATAATCTATGAATTTCTTCCTGATGATGGTAAAATCTGCCGTTTAATCATACTGCTAGCTTCTTTTATATACGTGTGAGCATTCGCACTGTGGAAGTACACTGTTCGTCACGGATTTTAACGCTTCATGCTTTTCCGCGTTGCACACCATGCAATAGAAATCACGAACCACTCTATGTTATTGCGAGTTCTATTTCGTGCAGTTCGCGAAATCTGTAGTTTTTATTTTTATTTGTTTCATTTATCTATGTATGAAGTTTCCGTACATTGTACGGACGTTGCACAAGTTACATTAGTTAATTCTTTTGTAATTATTCTTTCAAATTAATTGATCATATAACTGACAGTTCAGTGTTGAACAATTACTTGGTACACTTCATGTATTGTTAATAAATATTTGATAACCGATAAGGATGTTAATAAATATTTAACAACCCCTATGTTTGTATATCAATTTATAATATCTTCCACTATACAGGGTGTCTTATAACTAGTGTAAGTCCCTGAAATGGGGGGTAGCTGATGTGATTCTGAATAAGATTTCCCTTTGCAAAAATGGGGTTTGAAGCCTCGTTTTTGAATTATTAAGGAAAAACACGGACCAATTTGAGCACGAGGATTACGCATGAGCAGACGGCAATGGTTAATATACAGGGTGCCTCACAGACAGTGTAGGTACCAATCAGTACCAATGAGAGTCTTGCACCAATCAGATCGCGAGGATTACGCGTGCGCAGACGGCAATGGTTAATATAGAGGGTGTCTCACAGTTAGTGTAGAGGTACCAATCAGTACCAGTGAGAGTCTTGCACCAATCAGAGCGCGAGGATTACACGTGGGCAGACGCGAGAGCGGCAGCTTCGAGCCTATCGGCTGAGCGCGCGTAATCCTCGCGCTCTGATTGGTCCGTGCTTTTCCTTAATAATTCAAAAACGCGTTCTGATTGGTCCGCGTTTTTCCTTAATAATTCAAAAACGAAGCTTCAAATCCCATTTTTGCAAAAGGAAATCTTATTCAGAATCACGTCAGCCCCCATTTCAGGGACCTGCACTAGTTGTGAGACACCCTGTAGATCGAGTACCTTTGATTCTGCATAAAGCTCGAGGGAGAGTTACGAGGTAAAGAGAATAGCGTGAAACCCGTGGCACGTTTATTTCAGCCGATGATGTTGTGCAAGACTTTTGTTCGGAATCTGTCTGGAGGCTCTACTAGAAAGTTACCACCTAACATCGTAACAGATTTGTGTAACACCAACATTCGTGACTCGGTGGCCCGTGAAACTTCTACAGCTTGATCTTGAAATTATTCAGAAATTTTCTATTTTCTTTTTTATCTCCACTAGGAAGAAAAACTGGTTTACGGTTTCAAGATTTTATCGGGTATCGCGTGTTCCAGTACCTGGATATGCTCTAATTTTTCACTTACTCGAAGTATGCGTTCTAAATAGAAATTCCTATCACGCATGCTGATCTTTCGATATGTTTCTGTTCCTGTTAATTTATCATATTACTAACTCCACGTCGAGATTTGTGGCTACGTTTATTTACAGGAATAGGAGTTTATAAATTACTTTATAGGAATGAGGGTTTTTTAACGAGTTATCAATTTTTATGGGACGTCTCAATAAAGTTTATTTTACATTAAATTTATTTTCAGTTGTGCTTCATGTTGACTACTGCTCTTAGGTACTTTTATGTCATCAGTTTGTATCAGACTTCTTGAAAGTCGGATATTGACTTCTATGTATAGTCAATTATTTTATATTTCATCCCTTGTGTATTTATTGTTACAAATTATTTTCTCATTGCTACAAATCATTTTCACGTTGTCATACATAATCTCATATAAAATCAAGTGACATGTGCCGCAATTAAAATTGTTGTACTAAGTCAAACCTAATCTAACAGACTTTCAATCGCAGAGTTTGACTATTAGTCCAAGGGTGGTTTAAAAAAACTAGAATAAACAGTAGACAAGTAGCAGGACAATTCAATTGACAGATCACGGGTCGAGAGTTCCGCGTACTCCTGAAATGGAATCTGATTTCTAACGGCTTTTCACTGACCACACTTACCCGCTAGAAGTCATTCAGACACCGTACACGGTGGCTGTTGGTTCCCCTCGAGGTATTTTTCTTCGGTATCGAGAAAGAACGCGGACTCGGTAGAGAGTTGTTTTATATGGGTGGAAACCGGTGGCTTCCAAGGATCGTTGCATCCTCCGCACGGTTTAGCTATTTCCTACGTGCCCACTCGTCTGCGGTCTGCGTTCGTCGCGTTTTTTCGCCGTTAGCGAACCTCCATTCCTCGACGTGCCTCTTGAACGCTCGTTTTAAACGCCTCTTCGACTCGCCTATCGTTCACTTTCCTTTTTTGCTTACTTGATCGCCGATGACCGCCGCTGGTCAAATAAGTCGCCCGGCGCGGAGCTTGGGGGCAACGGTGGGCACGTGGGCAATGGTAGCTGAAGACATGTTTGCAGACTTCTAGTTTTACGGTTTAGGAATTTTGCGATGCCGAGATTTGGGAATTTTAAAATTTGGGGTTGGAGGGTGGCAAGTTTTCGAAGTTGGAGATTTGGAGATTTGGAAATTTGGGAATTTGGGAATTAGAGAGAATTTGGGAGCTTTGGAATTTGGGGATTTGATACTTTGGAAACTAGGGAATTTGGAATTTTGGAAATTTGGGAGCTTGGGAATTTGGGAGCTTAGGAATTTGGGAGCTTGAGAATTTGGAAGTTTGGGAATTTGGGAGCTTGAGAATTTGGGAGCTTGAGAATTTCGGAGCTTGGAAATTTGGAAGCTTGGGAATTTGGGAGCTTGAGAATTTGGGAGCTTGGAAATTTGGAAGCTTGGGAATTTGGGAGCTTGAGAATTTGGGAGCTTGGGAATTTGGAAATTAGGGAACTTTGGAACTAGGGAATTTTGGAACTAGGGTATTTGGGAACTACGGAATTTGGAAACTCGGGAATTTGAGAACTTGAGAATTTGGAAATTAGGGAATTTTGGAACCAGGGAATTTGGGAACTTGAGAATTTGTTACGAATTTGGGAGCTTGGGAATTTGGGAGCTTGGGAATTTGGGAGCTTGGAGAGCTTGGGAATTTGGGAGCTTGAGAATTTGGGATCTTGGGAATTTGGGAGCTTGAGAGTTTCGGAGCTTGAGAATTTGGAAGCTTGGGAATTTGGGAGCTTGGGAATTTGGGAGCTTGAGAATTTCGGAGTTTAGGAATTTGGCAGCTTGGGAATTTAAGAGCTTGGGAATTTGGGAGCTTAAGAATTTCGGAGCTTGGGAATTTGGGAGCTTGGGAATTTGGGAGCTTGGGAATTTGGGAGCTTGAGAATTTCGGAGCTTGGGAATTTGGGAGTTTGGGAATTTGGGAGCTTGGGAATTTGGGGATTTGGTAACTTGGGATCTAGGGAATTTGGAACTAGAAAATTTGGGGATTTGATAATTTGGGAACTGGGGAATTTAGGATCTTGGAAATTTGGAAACTAGGGAATTGCTTGGAAGCTCGAAACTTGGAAATTTGGGAATTTGGTAATTCAGAAGCTAGAAAATTTGGGAATTTTGGAACTAGGATATTTGGGAGCTTGGGAACTTGAGAAAATGTGAGAATTTACAAAATCATAATTTTGAAATTCTGCAAATTTGGAAACTCTTAATTTCAAAAATTTGAAAACCTAAAATTTGAGAATTAAAAAATTGTTAAATTCAGATTTGGAGACCCCAAATATTAGTAAAATTGTTAAATGATTCTTTGTTAAAAGTTACAGTCTTTTTATGGCCGGAAGTGAATGGAATCGTGACGAGCTATGATATAGGAAGTGTTTTCTGGTCACGCAACAGAGATCGTCGTTTTTATCCGTAAAACCTTTTCTTAAGTGTTTTTATCGCTGTTTACTCAAATGAAAGTTTCTGAGCATATTTTATACTGAAACTATTCATTACTTTTATCTTTCATTGCTTGTAAAATTAAGGACAACTTTAGACTGTTCAATTAATTAATTACATTTATAATTCGATAAGAAAATAATGTTGAACACGGTTATAATAACGTAGTAGTATTTAGTAGTATTTCTTGTAGTATAATTATAATAATTTTTAGTAGTATTGGGAATTTGGGAATTTTGGGAATTTTGAGAATTTAGAAATTTTGGGAATTTTTGGAATTTTGAGAATTTTTGGAATTTTTTGAATTTAGGAATTTTAGAAATTTTGGAAGTTTTATAATTTGGAACCTGAACAATTGGGGATCTTGGACCTAATCAATGTTACCCTTACTGTACCTAACCCTACATCTACAAATGTAACTACTATCGATTACTTACTATCACTAAAAATCCCACTTCAGCATATACCCTTCATAAAACGTATTTATCGTCTCCATAAATGACAGGTGACGATGTGGACGATTTTGCTGCTCGCACTCTCCACGTGGTCTTCGTCATGGGGTCAAGTGATCAACCGAGCACCGCATTTCGTGCAAGGTGGCGATATGGCCAGATTGGCCGTGTCAGAAGGCACGCCACCGGGAGCACCTGTCTATACTCTCCAAGGAGAGGATCCTGAAGGATCTAAATTGCATTATTCCATCAGCGGAGAATACTTCACCGTGAACCGAGACACTGGTGTCGTGGTGCTGAGAAAGGCGCTAGACAGGGAGACACAGGACTTGATCGAAGTGATCATCAGCATAACGGGTAACTAAGTATACTAACAGCTTTTATTGGTATCCCGTTACGCTACCACCATGGAATATCGATGAATATTCAACGATATGTAGGTCACTAGTGACATGATACGTCTATGGAATTGTGACGAGTCAGTTATGTCATTATCATTCTGATCGAGTTTCTTACGTGTATTATTACCGTTTTATTTCATATACATCTTTGACAAATTCTTAGTACTTTATAAATGGTTAGGTTAATTTGGACCTGTTAATAAATTAAAGTTGGACATCTTCATTAGTCATCTTTAAAAGATATCTGTTAGAGACATTTGTCATGGTGTCAATTGAGTAATACACAAATTCAAGTTCTCAAGCTTTGATATACTTAAAGTTTATTTATGATGCCAGTATAAGTTCTTATACTAATTTATAAACGTATACAACAATTCCCAATCTTGTATAACAATCCACAAACTTACATAATAATTCACGAATTTTTATTATGTATAAAACTTGCAAAGTGAATTTTTCTGAGCTATGTACGAATAATTTTGTAGACAAAAGACAGAAAATTATGAATAATTTCATAGACGAAGAGGACATGAATTTATGAATAGCGGAAGACATACTAATGTATAAATGATTTGAATAGAAAGATATACGAATACATGAATGATTAGAACAGAAGGATGTATGAATACATGAATGATTTTGCAGACGAAGGAGTCGCAGGATCGGAGCCTAACACGGTGTCCCTTCGACGGGAGGTAGCAGTGCTGGATGAGAACGATAATCCGCCAGTGTATCATGGCAGACCATACGCGGCTAGGGTCCCTGAAAGTGCACTCGTGGGTGGTCTACTGATTCCTCCTGGTACGATCACGATCACGGATCGTGATGGCGGCGTAAACGCGGATGTTCATGTGGAATGCGTTCCTGCATCCCGAGACGACGATGTCTGTGAAGTTTTCAATATTTCTACGGAAAAGGTATCCTCATCATCTGGTTTCAAGAAATATTCAGCGTAATCACTTTACCTGCAAATTTATTATGGTATAGTTTGAGTTTAAGGCAGATTATTTTCTTTGAGCTTTGTAATATTTTCTTTAGTGTATGTTTATACGTCTATGCTTATACGTCAAGTGTGGGAAGTGATCAAATTATTCTGAAAGATTGAAGGAATCATATATTATGTATTCTAATTTATATATTCCAATTATAAGTTTAATTAGTAAAATGTGTAGTGGAGAATGGGAATTTGGTTAGTTTTTAATGTATTTATACATAGAGCGTTACATGCATGCATTTAGTGTTAGATACAGACATATGTGGAATGTAGACACATAGGATGTTAGATGCACACATAACACATTTAGACACATAGAATGTTAGATGCATACATAACATATCTAGACACATAGTAAGTTAGATACATACATAACATATTTAGACACAGACTATTAGACACACACATACAGTCAGTGTAAAAAGTATTCGTACAGTAATTAATTTCAACAAAAATGTTGTGAAACGTCATTTATTAACAAAATTTTAACAAATAAAAAATACATACATATTTTTAGATGTCTATGTATTCTATGTAAGAATGTGTATGTATTTTTTATTTGTTCAAATTTTGTTAATAAATGACGTTTCACAACATTTTTGTTGAAATTAATTACTGTACGAATACTTTTTACACTGACTGTACATATTTAGACACATACAATGTTAAATAATCTGAATAACTCAGTATTTCATCAAAGTACCCTAAAATGTTTATATCACGCCTTATAAATATAATCGTAAGCAACATTATCATAAAAACATTCAATCTTGAATGAACTTTTCCAACAGTACAATGAACTCATTGCAACACATGTAACGAACCTTTAATGAAAAATTCTTTACCTGCAAAGTATATCAGTTGCATTGTTGTTCCACTATCAACCAGCGGATAATTCGAGCAGTCACTGCATACACATATGTTTCTACATATCATCTTTTCAATATCAAATTCCTTCGACTGAAACGCTCTCTCCGTCCATTCATTTCCCATTGCAGTTCCACGTTTATCGTCTTCCAACCATAGAAATTCTACGATTTCTTCATGTACCTCGATCCGGTCAATGCAACTCATTACCTCACATGTGTTTCACGTGTGTCTATCGTTTGTCCAGTTAGCAGAGGGCAACTACTCCGTGCAAATCGTTCTGATGAAACCTTTGGACTACGAAAGGAGAAATTCATACCTGATCAATCTCTTAGCCGTGGACGGTGCTAGTAACGCGTCGAAGAGATTACAAGCTAGAGCAACAGTAGCCGTCGACGTTCTCGATGTCCAGGTAAGTGGGTCCCGACCGTAACCGCGGTATAACTGTACATCCAGTCTGAACATCCTGCATTGATGAACAAAATCGTTTCAAAACCAGGAAGACGGTTACCTACTGACTCGGTTTCGAAATTATGTAGATATACCTGTAATTGATTTACGAGATAACTTTCACTAAATTAAGTATATTCTATCAAATTGACGTTAATGTAATGTTAAGGCATAATTAGCTGAACCACTTGGTCTGTAGTTATTTCTTTCAAGTGAAACGCAAAATAGTTGATTGGATGGAACATTTGAGCAGAGTAATTAGAAAGGAGGATGTGAGCAATAATGTACTGAGATTAGGGATGTAGGATATAGATTAGTATGTAAATTTGACAATTCCGGAGTTTCAAAATTTTTGATGTAAAAAATTCATAAATTCTAAAGTTAGGGAATTTCTGGATTTTTATAGAGATAAGTTTTCAAGTTTTTATATTTGGGAATTTCAAGATTGTCGAATTCCTGAGTTATTGAATTTCTGACCCTATGTTACCATATTCCACTGGTCCTAGATTCCTGTGACACTAAATCCCCAAATCTCAATGGTGAAGAAATTTCAAGGTCGCAAAATTTCATCGTCTCCAAATTTCTAGGTTCCCAAATTTCTAGGTCCCTAAATTCTAGCGCCCCCAAATTTCTAGATTCCTAAATCCCAACCTTTCCAAATTTCTAGGTCCCCAAATTCTAGCGCCCCCAAATTTCTAAGTTCCCAAATCCCAACGTTTCCAAATTTCCAGGTCCCAAAATTTTAGCGTCCGCAAATTTCTAGGTTCCCAAATCCCAAGGTCTCGAAATTTTTAAATCTCCAAATTCCAGCGCCCCCAAATTGCTAGGTCCCCAAATCCCATCGTCCCCAAATTTCTAGGTTCCCAAATCCCAACGTTCCCAAATTTCTAGGTCCCCAAATTCTAGCGCCCCCAAATTTCTAAGTTCCCAAATCCCAACGTTTCCAAATTTCCAGGTCCCAAAATTTTAGCGTCCGCAAATTTCTAGGTTCCCAAATCCCAACGTTCCCAAATTTCTAGGTCCCCAAATTCTAGCGCCCCCAAATTTCTAGGTCCCCAAATCCTAAGATCCCCAAATTTTTACGTTCCCAAATTTCTAGGTCCCGAAATTCTAGCGCCCCAAATTTCTAGGTCCCCAAATCCTAAGATCCCCAAATTTTTAAATCTCCAAATTCCAGCGCCCCCAAATTGCTAGGTCCCCAAATCCCATCGTCCCCAAATTTCTATCCCCAAATTCCATCGTTCCCGAATTGCAAGGTCCCCAAATCCCATCGTCCCCAAATTTCTAAATCTCCAAATTCCAACGTTCCCAAATTGCTAGGTCCTCATATATCTGGATCCCCAAATCCCATCGTCTCCAAATTGCTAGGTCCCCAAATCCCTAAACCCTACATCCATGAATCACCTCCTTTCATGTCTCCAATGGTCACTTCCTTCCATAAGGTCCATACCTAACCCATCTAAAAATTTCTAAATATCAAAAAGTTCATAAAAAATCGACAACTGCGTAGCCATTTTCCACTTATCAGTCAAATGAAAACGACCTTATATAATACCTATGAAAATGACATTTATCCTTGACTGCGCACTCACTCATCGATTTCACAGAGCTCTACACTGCCATCAAATAAATGGAAAACGATAAAGCACAGTTATCATTGCTCGTACTTTCATTCTCGGGAGCACATTCGAAGACCTCAGAAAATGAATTCAGTTATGAACTAAATCGTTTTCAGGATCAGCCACCCGTGTTCCTGAACGCGCCGTACAACGCAGCGCTTCCAGAGAACACGCCAGCTAGTCACACGATCCTGACAGTCCGAGCACGCGACGGTGACACGGGAGAACCTAGAAATTTGTTGCTGACGTTGGAGGACGAAGAGTCTGGACACTTTGATTTGGAGCAGACGCGAGAAGGTGACGTTACTATTGGCAAACTTGTCACCACCAATGTCTCCCTCGATAGAGAAGATCCTAGAATACTGCAGAACGGTGGGATTTATACGTTTCAAGTGAAAGCGACAGAGTTGATCAATAACGAGATACCGGCTGATACTGCAACGTCTATTGTGACGATCATCGTCACTGATGTGGATGATCTTATGCCTGTCTTCAACGAGAACTACTTTAATATATCGATTTCGGAAGATATTGGGAAAGAGACACCCTTGCCAGGTGAGTGGATGTTAGGAATGGTTTTGGTGATCAGATTTAATATCTGATAGGTTGATACAGCTGTAACATTTAATAGATTGATCTAGATCTAACATCTGATAGGGTGATCCTGATCTGACATTTGACAGATTAAGCCAGATCTAACATCTGATAGGGTGATTCACATGTAACATGTGATAGATTGATCCAGATCTAACAATCTGATAGGTAGATCTACATGTAACATCTGATAGGTTGATCCACATGTAACATCTGATAGGTTGATCCAAATCTATCATCAGACAAAGTGATCCAGATCTAACAATCTGATAGGTAGATTCACATGTAACATCTGATAGGTTGATCCAGATCTAACATTTGATAGGTTGATCCAGATCTAACATTTGATAGGTAGACCGAGATATAAAATCCGATAGTTTGATCCAGATGTAACATTTGACAGGTTGATCTACATGTAACATCTGATAGGTTGATCCATATATAACATCAAACAGAGTGATCCAGATCTAACAATCTGATAGGCAGATCCACATGTAACATTTGATAGGTTGATCCACATGTAACATCTGATAGGTTGATCCAGATCTATCATCAGACAAAGTGATCTAGATCTAACAATCTGATAGGTAGATCCACATGTAACATCTGATAGGTTGATCCAGATCTAACATTTGATAGGTAGATCTAGATATAACATCCGATAGTTTGATCCAGATGTAACATTTGACAGGTTGATCCACATGTAACATCTGATAGGTTGATCCATACATAACACCTGATAAGTTGATCCAAATGTATCATTTGATAGATTCATCAAGATCTAACATCAGACAGATTCATCCAGATTTATTGATATTTGATCGGCAGGTCTAAACATGATCGTGAGCGACGGAGACGTCGGTGATAACGCAAAGTTTACTCTAACTTTGAGAGATGTACCCGAATATCCCGGAATTAGCAAAGCCTTCACAGTGAATCCTGAAAATGCTCAGGGTCGAGTACCAGTGGTTGTGAAGGCTAAGGATGTCAACGTGTTGAACTACGACGTGCCTGATCCTGCTAAGAGAGAACTCGAGTTTGAAGTTGCTGCACTTGTTGCGGATGAAGTGGTATGAATTCTTTTTAATTTATGAAAGTAAGGCATAAATGGGTGATGTGGGAATGCTAATGAGGGTGCTATGTGGATGCCAATGAGGATGTTATAAGAATGCTAATGGAGATGCTAATATGGTACGCCGTATTTAGGTAGCCACGAGCAGAGTTCACATAAACCTCATGGACGCGAACGACCACAGCCCAGAATTCTCTCAATCGATCTACAAACTCTCCGTACCGGAAGATGCCGAGATAGGAACACGTTTCGCCGACGTTTACGCTAAAGATTACGACAGTGGATCTTACGGCGAGTTGACGTACGTTCTGCGAGGTTTCGGTTCGGATAAATTCGTCACTGATTTCAAAACCGGTGGAATTATCGTGGCGAAGGCGTTGGACTACGAGACCCAGAGGTCGTACTCGTTGACGATGGAAGCAATAGATGGCGGCGGAAGAGTATCCACTGTGAACATCTTGATAGAACTGGAGGATGTTAACGATAATAAACCCATCTTCGAGCAGAATGAATATTCAAGAACGATTCGAGAAGGAGCTACGAGCTTTGATCCACAGGTGTTCGTCAGAGCAACCGATGTCGATGGCCCGATGCAAGGGAATGGGAAAGTGACGTACTCTATTAGTTCACATAACAGCATGACGAATGATGTCTTCAAGGTAGATAGAACATGTTTCACTCTATGTGATGTAAATGAATAAATTTTATTCTAATTAAAATGAATAAGTTTTGTTATACATGTGACTTATAGAGTTACAAGGTAGTTATACAGTGTACAAAGTATTCCACTATCAAATATAATATTCAATTTAAAGTTAGAGATATTTCATTGATACAGTTATTTACAACTGTATCAGGTTAAATAGTAATTATCAGGTTTAAGTAATTAGTAGTAATTCAATTAGGTTTAATAGTAATTTCGTTTGTAGATGAACGCTGAAACTGGAGAAGTGACTATAGCGAAACCAGTGCGTTCCGATGACACAGAGAGGGGAATATATGAACTGGTGATTCGAGCTACAGACGCTGGAACACCTCCGTTATATACCGACGCAAAACTTTCGGTCAGGGTGGGAGTTCCGGGGAACCAGAAACCCATTTTCCGGGGAAATTACAAATCCAACTTGCCCGGACCTAGCACCTATCGGGCTAGGTTGCTGGAGAACGCCTCACCTGGGACGGAAGTCATCAGGGTCGTCGCGAACGACCCCGATGGAAGAGACAATTTATTGCAGTATCATATTGCTTCCGGTGCTAAGGATAATTTTGTCATAGACTCCAGGTAATTCTTAAACTTTAAGACATTTGTGTCGTAAATTATTCTGAATTTGCTGATAAATTCTGTAACTAATCTCAATGAGTGCATGAACAAACTTTCTCCAATAGTGCAGAGTGTTCAGCAAATTATTAAAATGATCTATCGTTTTATAGTTTTAGACTAATCTTTCATGTTCCAATATCATAGTTTCAAGGTTCACAATAATTACTATGGTTTAACTTTTAACTGAAGTTTAATAGTTCATCATCCTTTTAGTTCTGGCGTCATCACAGTTTCCCCAGACGCCCGTCTGGATCTGGAATCAGGCGGCGACAAATACGAAGTGATAGTTTACGCCATCGATTCTGGAACACCCGTCAGGGAAACCGCCACCACAACCGTCACAGTGAACATGATAGACGTGAACAATAAACCACCGATGTTCAACGAGTCGACGTACCTCGTTTACGTATCGGAAAGAGCAGCCATTGGTATGTATCAAATTTTCTACAAAATTCCTTTTCGCTGACTTTATTCTAATCATCACTGTTTTTACTCGTGGAGATTATTCTTTTAATTTACATATAACATGTACATTTCCACACAACAATCATATTAACAACAAATAATAATTAATAACAATTTACTTTTAGGTGAACCAGTTCTCAAAGTAACCGCAACAGATCCAGATTCCGACGCCTACTTAGAATACTCATTAGTAGAACCAATAAAAGCCGTCGACAAAACAGGAGTTGCCTTGAAGAACACCGCATCATACGACTATAAATCGGCGTTTCGCATAAATTCGACGACAGGCCTCATAACAGTGAACCGTATGTTGGATTATCAAGTGGCTGCTGTGATCAGACTAACAGTTCAAGTGGAGGACTTGAACGCCGTCGTTGATAAAGAAAAGCAAGTTACGAAGGTTGAAGTGACGGTTTACATTCAAGCGTACAGCGATGACAATCCGACCTTCACGAACCCTGGATGGTCACCGAATAATCCCACTATCAGGATTTCTGTGCCAGAAGAACAACCACTTGGAACTACTTTGCTGATGTTGTCGGCGAAGGAACCTACCACTGGTTATGCTGTTCAGAGGTTCGAGCTGGTGAGGGAAGATGATGACGAAGGATACGTGAATGTGGGAGTGCAGAGCGGGAACGTTGTTTTGAGCAGGAGATTGGATTACGAAATTCTTAATCAAAAGGTATTCTTTTTAGGAAAATTCTTGGGAGTTTATAAATATTTTGTGTGAAAAGGTGTTTGCTCGAAGTCTTAGTAAAATGAAACTTAATTATTTATACTAAAATTGTAAGATATTTTTAAAAATATAGGCTGAGATTATAAAATAATTATTTATGCACATATAGGTTAAAGTTATATCAGAAATTTTTATCGCTTGCAGTTCATTCGATTCAAAGTACGAGCTCTGGCAAGGGACTACGAGATAACAAGAAAAATGTCTGAAGCCAACATAATCGTCGAGGTTCAAGACACGAACGACAATAGTCCAGTCTTCACTCAGAAAGACTACAAGATCTCTGTTTTGGAATCGGCGAAACCTTCGAAAATCGTGTTAAACGTTAAAGCCACGGATATGGACAGCTCCAACACAGAACAGGAAGTCAGACGAGGGTACGGCGAAGTTAGATACTCTCTGATTGGAGAGAATGCTAACATGTTCGAGGTGGATCCTATAACTGGGAACATTCAGGTAAGCAAGTACTACAATTCTTCTATTCAACGAGTCATCAAATGAATAGTTAAAATCGTCTTAAACATTCTACATTTTGTAATAAATTTTCACACTGATGGTTCAGAAAGTGTCTGTACAGTCAACACGAATTTTAATTCTTAATATTTTAATTTGCAGATCGCTGCCAACACAACGCTTGACAGAGAAAGACAATCGGTCCTCCGCTTCTACGTCGTAGCCTCGGACATGCCTCAAGGTGGAGCAGAGCAGAGGAGCACCAGAGCTTTGGTAACCGTGGACGTTTTAGATGTCAACGATAATGCTCCGGTCTTCGATCAAGAATTGTACACAGCCGTGATACCCGAAAACGCGGCATCTGGTGTCAGTGTGGTGAACATCACCGCTACTGACCCAGACGAAGGCAAGGGTGGTGTGATCAGTTACGAAATCATTGACGAAGGCGAAGCTAATGGTACATTTACTATGTTACAGTCGTAAACACTTTATTCTACAACTTCATCCATATGTGTAGTATAAACATGTAACTTCATATAAACTTTATAAAAAACTTCATATAAAGTTCACGCGAAACTTTATGTAAACCTAATTAAAATCTTATGTATGCTTTATGTAATACCTTATGTAAAAATAGCTATAATTGTATGTAAATTTATAGGATTGTTTAAAATAAACCACACAACGGGAGAGATCTATTCCGCCCGAGCGCTGACAGGCAAAGGCAGGACGGAGCCGTACATGATGAGAATCAGAGCCCAAGATGGCGGAGAGCCAGAATTATACTCAGACGTGATACTGACACTTTACATAGGCGACGTGGTGAGCAACGACGGCGTTCCTCTGTTCATCAGACCCACCCTCGAAGAAGTAGCCCACATAGCAGAAAATTCCACGATTGGTAGCCCGGTGTTCCAAGTGGTCGCTTCCGATCCTGACGATCCTAACTTACCAGACGGGAAGATCACCTTCAAGTTCCTGGAAGACGGTGATTTCGGCAAGGACTCCAGCGCGTTCAGAATAAACAGCGAGACGGGTTTGATCACTACCAGAAAATTGCTGGACCGAGAAGCGAAGGACAGCTATACGTTGATACTGGTAGCTCAAGATCTAGGAAGTCCTCCTCAGCAGGCGACCAGGGTGCTTCAAGTGGTCGTGAACGACATCGACGACCACAAGCCTCATTTTAAAAGAAATCTCGACAGTCCACCTGTGGAGCTATCCATCATTGAGGAAGAGCCCGTGGGTACCAAAGTCGGAGTGATCGACGCGATCGATGAGGACATCGGTGAAAACGGGATGATTGATTATGCGATCGTTTACGGTAACGAGGCCAGTCTGTTCGTGGTAGAAAGATTGAGCAATAATTCGGCAGTGATTAAGTCGAATGGTCGCCTGGATCGGGAGTCTTCCGACCGTCATTTGCTTACCGTGAAGTGTTTCCCGTACTCCACTAAGAAGTCCGACGTAGTTCCAAAGCCGTACAACCGGCAAGATCCTTCTGAACGACAAGTTCTTATCAGGGTCCTCGACATCGACGATAATAGACCCATGTTCAAGAAGCAGAACATCACTTTGGGTGTCCGACTGAATGTGCCCATCGATACTAGTTTGATCACGTTGGAGGCCTTCGATGCAGACTCCGACGCTCTGCCTATAAATTACAGCATGGGCAAAGCGTCCTTCGTGTCCCTGGTCGACCCGTCTATGTCCAAGCGGGAGATTCCCTCGCATCTAACACTGAATCCACAAACTGGTGAACTGAGGACGACTGGATCAATGTCGTCCTACGCCGACGGTTACATGGAGATCATCATCTCGGCGAACAATTCTGTAGTACCTGGCAGAGAGACGAATATCACCCTGAGGATATTCCTCCTTCGCGACAGGGACATGCTGAAGTTCGTGTTCTCTAAGCCGCCGGTAGAAGTCAGAAAAACGTTAGAAGACTTTGAGAGAGCCGTGCAGCAGGCACTGTCTCTCCCCATCAGTGTTAATGTCTACGACACCCAGTTTTATTCCAAGGATGACAACTCGCTGGACTTCTCGTCAACCAGCTCGTGCTTCCAAATGGTGGGGAAGGAGGCGTACGACCTGGACGAGATGAAGGCGCTGCTGACGGACCCGAAGAACGAGGAGTTGAAGAGGGTTTACAGAGCTTACAATGTGGAGAAGGTGCAACACTGCGCGGCCTTGGTGGCTAGGGCTGACGCATCCATGACGCAGATGTGGGTGCTGGCTATCGCTGCCCTTGTGGGCATTGCTACTATAGTCTCCAGTTGTACACTATGCTGTATGCATGCTAAGTACGTGTCTAATCTCTATTTCCATCATATAGTCTTTTATGAACAATAAGTGAATCCTGGCTACAAAAGTTTTTAGAGTTTTTTACGAAGTGAGGTTAACTTCTTTCTTCGTCAATTAATTTTCAAAAGCAGAATTATAGAGTTCCTCTTTCTTCCAGGTACAAACGACAAGTAAAACACGCACGATTGCGTGACCAGCCACGTCCACCATTGAGTTACGTCTCTTCCGGTCCAGGAATGGTCAGCGCCACATCGCATACGACACTGGGACCAGGTACTATGGTCTCTCTGGGACCCCATGAAGGACCATACGAATGGGGAGCTGATACAACGCTGTATCATCCGAGTACCCTCGGATCCAGGACCTAAAACGCAAACTGTTACGTTCGGGTCTGAATTAGGAAGTTAGATTATTTGTTACCAATCGAACAATGTGACACTTGTATTGGAAGACTGTTTGACCTGCATTGAATGTGATATGAGATTAAATTCGTTTCAAGTGCCAATAGGGAAATGTTCTTCGAGGGATATAAAAATTCCAAAACTGTTTGAAACAGCATACACGAAATGGATTATGAACGTCAATCAAAGATAGAGTACAACTAATTTTTTAATTGCGACTTACTCATTCCTTTCGAGGCTAAGTAGCTTCGCATCAGGCAATGGAATTTCAATCAAAATGAAGGAATTCGTGGAAATCTGATGGATAAGGGACTATGTGTGTGTCGAAGTTACGTGCACTTTGAAAGTATCGATTGCAGGCTCACGAAGGAACTGGATAAAATTGTGCAATGAAGTCGACAAATGGTGCTATAAAGTAAGATCGAATAACTCGTGCCAAACGCCGGTACACTTGTGAAGTACGACGACGTTTTTTTAGGATAAGAGAAATTAACTCGCGTGAATTGTATATTTCTTAAACCGTACACGAATTTTACTTACAATGTTTGCGACGCTGGTGTACGACATTCGCGAGGTATATTGTAATATATCGTAGTAGTTTCAGGATGAAATAAACTTGTACATTTGAGTTATGTTTATAAAAAATGAGGGAGAATTCTTTTTTATGAACCTTATAATCATAACGCATTGTAGTTTCAATGCATTTTAATTTCGACGTATTATAGTTTCGAAATGTTGTAATTTAACGCACTGTAATTTTAACGTGCGGTGATTATAACGCACCGTAATTTCAACGTGCGTTGACTTCGACGCACTGTAATTACAACGTGCTGATATTTCAATATGCGGCAATTTCAACGCGTCGAAATTTCAACGCACCGCAGTTTCAGTACACTGTAATTTTAACGTGCAGTGATTTCAACGCGTCGCAATTTCAACGTGCGTTGACTTCGACGCACTGTAATTGCAATGTGCTGAGATTTTAATATGCGGCAATTTCAACGCGTCGAAATTTCAACGCACCGCAGTTTCAATGCACTGTGATTTTAACGTGCGGTGATTTCAACGCACCGTAATTGTAACGTGCGTTGACTTCGACGCACTGTAATTTCAACACGCTGAGATTTCAGTACGCGGCAATCTCAACGCACTGCAATTTCAGCGCACCGTAATTTCAACGTGCGTTGATTTCAACGCACTGATATTTTAACACCTGAGAAATAAAATTTCAAAAATCTGTGGCTGATGGAAAATTTATAGAAGAATATTTAATGCGAATTTCTTAACTTTCATAAACATTTAATAAACCTTTTCTTTTTCTGCTATTTTTCTGCCACTCGTTTTGACTCCATAGACAAATTTACATTGCACCTGCTCGATACAAATTTAATTAAGTACCACGCTAATTTAATTTACTTGAATCTACTAATGTTCGTTCATGGCGAAATGGTGCAACAATTTGGAAACGTAAACGTGTTTTGTATTCAAACATTCTCTGCTGTTCTGTGTGCACATTAACGTGTATCAATTTAGTAGTTAGTGGCCTATTAAGCAATCGCCGATCAACGAATATCTTACGATTGTACGAGTGAAACTGCTGGAAGATATTTCTACGTCCTCGGTGAAAATGTCAAGGCAAGGTGGAGCTCGTGAGATAATTCGATCTGGCGGAACATTCAACACGAAACCCAGCACACGTAAAATAAAAACTTGATAAGCAAACGATAAAACATAATTCAATATATTAATTTTTTATCTCCACAAAAGTCCATATAAATTTCGAGAAAAAAATTTTACATTTTTTTACTTAAAATGTATGGGTCAACCGTTTTGAAGTTGAAATTGAAATTAATTTCAACAATTCCTGTCCTTGTTCAAGAATGTACTTCATAAAGCAAAAAGAGAAAATGAAAAACACACTAACAGACTTTATTATTTCTCATTTAATTATTTGTTTCGAATAACATCTAAACGTTTCAGAGCTTCCAAAATATCACCTTCAAAATTAAGTCTTGCATCAAACCACCTGGGCAAGGTCTTAAAAATTGAAATTAATTTATCGAAACATTCGACAGCTATTTACATCTATTAACAAACATCCATGTACTTATCAACGCATTATTCATCTTATCTACAACGACAGATTCATCTCAATTCGTTCCGGAGATGCTATCGCTAAATCGTTTGAATCCCTCAATGGTGTCGACATCTTTCGAAATTTCTTCAGCATTCTTCGAGTCATTAGTAGTCGTCTCTTCTAAAGCGACCGTAGTATCGCAATCTACGCACTCGTTTTCTGTAGTTGTAGCCACGATCTTTTGGGCCTCGAACTCGTACTTGTCCGTGTTAGCGTAATCTTCTTCAAGAATGGGTTTGTGATTAAATGGAACTGAATCGTTTAGACTAGAAGAGTCGTTTGTCTGCTCAAACTTTTTTGTCTCGTTTTCTGCGTCGAGAATCGTTTCCTGATATCGATTGGACGCTAAAGTGTCCTCCATTTCGTTGTTCACGAATTTTGATCGTTCAACGGCTATATGTTTGGCGATTGTTTCTAGCGGTGACCAAACTTTGTTAACGAACTGTTGTTGCTCTGCGGGTTCCATGGACTCGGATCTGTGAATTATGTCGTGTCTGAAAGTGAAAGTTATATCTTTAGTATTCCTCCCTTTTTATTATTCTGTTGTTTATTAGATATGATGAATGTAGAAATAAATTTTGATACTGGAAGGAATATTCTGTATACATAGTTTGAAACTTTTTGTTAAAATAGATTAATTTGGTGTTTTTTCAGTTTAATTGTGAGAAGTTACAATTGAAACTGTAGTATGGTTCTCGGTATATTGCCATGTAAGACAATTTGCAGATTTGGGGATTTTAGAATTTCAAGAACTCAAAGTTTAGAAATTTGAGAATTTAAAAATGTGGAAATTGGAAATTTGAGATTTTGAAATTTAGAGGTTTGAAAGTAGGAAATTGCAAAATTGAGAAATTTGGGAATTGAAGAATATGTAATATGGAGAATTTGGAACCCAGAGATTTTGGTAACTAGGGTGTTTGGTAAGTAGGGAATTTGGTAATTTGGGAATCTAGGATCTAAGGAATTTGGGAATTAGGGAATTGGGAACTAGAGAATTTGGAATCTAGGAAGATTGGGAACTAGGGAATTTGATAATTAAGAAATTTGGTAACTATGGAATTTGGTAACTAGGGAATTTGGGATCTAAGGAATTTAGGAACTAGGGAATTTTGGGACTAGGGAACTTGGGAGCTTAGGAATTTCAGAACTTGGAAATTTGAGATCTTGGAAATTTAGGAATTTTGTAATTTTACCATTTGGGGACTTAACAATTTGGAAATTTTGTAGTTTGATAAATCTGCAATTTTTTCATTTAAGCATCTAAAAATTGGAGAGTTCAAAAAATTGCAAGAATTCGGGAACAGAGAAGTGGAATTTGGTAAGTGGGGAATTTGGGATCTATGGAATTTGGTAACTAGGGAATTTGAGAACTTGGAAACTTGGTAACTAGGGAATTTGGGATCTATGAAATTTGGTAACTAGGGAATTTAAGAACTTGGGAATTTGGTAACTAGGGAATTTGGGATCTAAGGAATTTGGTAACTAGGGAATTTGAGAACTTGGAAACTTGGTAACTAGGGAATTTTGGGACTAGGGAACTTGGGAGCTTAGGAATTTCAGAACTTGGAATGGAATTTGGTAAGTGGGGAATTTGGATTCTATGGAATTTGGTAATTAGGGAATTTGAGAACTTGGAAATTTGGTAACTAGGGAATTTGAGAACTTGGAAACTTGGTAACTAGGGAATTTTGGGACTAGGGAACTTGGGAGCTTAGGAATTTCAGAACTTGGAAATTTGAGATCTTGGAAATTTAGGAATTTTGTAATTTTACCATTTGGGGACTTAACAATTTGGAAATTTTGTAGTTTGATAAATCTGCAATTTTTTCATTTAAGCATCTAAAAATTGGAGAGTTCAAAAAATTGCAAGAATTCGGGAACAGAGAATTTCTTATTTGAGAACTGCAGAAATGTGTAAACTTAAGATCTGTAAATCTTGAAATCCCTAAATCTCGCCATTAAGTAAATTTCTGCAATATATCACTCCACATGAAGTAAGTAGACAGATACAAAATACGTTCAACCACAAGCGTCAATTTCCGCACCGACGATCATCTCATTAATAAATTATGCAATCATCGACCAATTAACCGCACCATATACATTACGTTTATTACGATCTCCATATACGTCACGTAAAAATTGAACGAGAGTGGTTGTTACTTTTACGGTTACATGCCATAAAGCAAGTCGTTATACGTTCACCGATGCTATCACGCAGAGGATGACCGAAGTTTGAACGAATTTACGACGGGTTATTTTCGAGAGGATCAAGCGTTTCTGTTTCAAATTCGCTCGATGACATTTCACGGGGCCATCTTTAACGAGCCATCGAGCGGTCTCGTTCGATTTTTTATGAAATCGACGCCACCTGCGCGCACGTTCGGTGAAAGTTCTCGTATATGGCGGTGCAAAACCGTTCTCGGCGATTTTGCGGATAAATCTAGCCATCGAACGGTGCCACAAACGCTATTGTAACGATTCCGCGATCCACGATCTATATGCAACCATCTTTCTTCTTACGTAATGAAAACATGGCGTGGGTGAAATATTTTTTTACTTGAAATGCTATTACTTCTCGAATGCGAAGTATCTTTGTTTTTTTAGGATTTGCAAGCTTATTTTTTGAAACTGAAATTTTGTTTCCAAGTATAGACATTGTAATTTGTAATTTAATAGTGGAATGAAGAATTCACAAGTCTTTCTTATTGTGAAATTTTTTACAGTGCTTTTCTTGAGACACGAGCCGATTTTTATAATTTATGTGTATGTAGAACTAATGTGTTAATTTGCGAACTTCTTGCGTTTGGAAATTTGGAACTTGGAAGTTTGGAGTTTGGTAATTTGGAAACTAGGGAATTTTGGCGCTTGGGAATATCGAAACTAGGGAATTTTGGCGCTTGGGAATTTGGAAATTAGGGAATTTTAGCGCTTGGGAATTTGGAAACTGGGGAATTCTTGCGCTTGGAAATTTGGAACTTGGAAGTTTGGAGTCTGGTAGTTTGGAAACTAGGGAATTTGGGCGCTTGGGAATTTGGAAACTAGGTAGTTTTGGCGCTTGGGAATTTGGAAGTTAGGAAATTTTGGCGCTTGGAAATTTAGAGTTTAGTAATTTGGAAACTAGGGAATTTTGGCGCTTGGGAATTTGGAAATTAGGGAATTTTAGCGCTTGGGAATTTGGAAACTGGGGAATTCTTGCGCTTGGAAATTTGGAACTTGGAAGTTTGGAGTCTGGTAGTTTGGAAACTAGGGAATTTTGGCGCTTGGGAATATCGAAACTAGGAAATTTTGGCGCTTGGGAATTTGGAAATTAGGGAATTTTAGCGCTTGGGAATTTGGAAACTGGGGAATTCTTGCGCTTGGAAATTTGGAACTTGGAAGTTTGGAGTCTGGTAGTTTGGAAACTAGGGAATTTGGGCGCTTAGGAATTTGGAAACTAGGTAGTTTTGGCGCTTGGGAATTTGGAAGCTAGGAAATTTTGGCGCTTGGAAATTTGGAGTTTAGTAATTTGAAAACTAGGGAATTTTGGCGCTTGGGAACTTGAAAACTTGGGAATTTTGGCGCTTGGGAATTTGGAAACTAAGGAATTTTAGTCCTTGGGAATTTGGAAACTAGGGAATTCTTACGCTTGGAAATTTGGAACTTGGAAGCTTGGAGTTTGGCAATTTGGAAAACAGGGAATTTGGGTCCTTAGGAATATGCGAACTAGGGATTTTCAGAACTTGGAAATTTGCGAGCTTGGGAACTAGGGAATTTGGTAGCTTGGTAATTTGGTAACTAGGGAATTTAAGAACACGGAATTTTGGAACCTTGGGAACTAGAGAATTTGGTAACTAGAACCTTTGGGATCTAGGGAATTTAGTAATGTTGCTTGATTTTAATAAACTTTAATTTTTGTAAATTTCATTCCCTAATTTTTACAAATTTAATTATTAATTTTTATTAATCTCATTCTTTAATTTTTGCAAATTAACATTAATTAACTAGTTGCAATTCTAATTTCAATAAACTAAATCAATTTATTTAAAGAATTAACTTGTACATTAATTTACGAGTTTCCTTTTATTTATTCACTCGGCTATTAAATATTTAATTTTGAATGAAGTGTGCATTATACTCTAAAGTATAAAAATTACAATCAAGTCCACGTGTCATGAAAGTGCTAATTGATAACTAACCTCCTAATTAAATCTTACCTGCTCAATTTGTTCTTCTTCCTTGGATACAAATTTAAGTGAAATATCATTTGCTGTCTCTCTTCTTCATCCGTCATTGCTTGATTCGACAAACCTGTCATGGGCTGAGGAGGAGAGGCATAAAATTTCGGTCCTCTATTAAACTGAATCGGTCTTCTCAGATCATAGTCCTCCATAGGAACCTGTCTCGGCCTCGTTATTTTCTTATTTTGCTCCATGATGTCTGAAATCGGGTAAATATCTAACATAACGCTGAACGGCTTCGGTTTTCTTCGTTTCGAATAACTGTTCGTGTAGGAACCCGAATTTTCCAGTTGAACATCGAGTGCTGGTTGTTTGTTGTAGTTCAGTGGTCGTCCATGTGCATCGTAGTTGTATCTATAGAGTCCTGTTGGCGAGAACCTAGAAATTAATCGATTTTATATTCATTCTATTTTTATTTCTTCACTTACGTATTTTTGTCATGTTTCTGAAATGATTCACATTTCGGGTGTTAGGAGATTCTTTTCTAATCTACACTACAAATTTTTTACTATTTGTTCACAACAAATTTTCTGCAAATTATTGTTTCCTTCATTGCGTGATTTACTTTATTCACTTATGTTTGACAAGATGGAAAAGTTATGTGATGCACTACTTCATGTTGGTCATTTTTAATTTAACTTCAAGTCACAATCATAATGTCTAAACAAATTGCAAACCTGAAGTTTGACGTAGCCAACAGATTCACGTCAGCAGGATGTTTCGGTTTGTACTGATAAAACGGATCATCATTCATGGGATAAGAATCATCGTCCTCTTCTGACCTATCGTTAGACATCATTCCCCCAAGATCCGACATCATGTCATATTTCTTCGGGTTCACGTAAACCCCAGTGAACTTGATACCCCGATTCGGTGTTTCAGCATCGTTCGTCAAGTATTTAATGATATCTTGAATGTTTCTGGAGGCGTGAGGATATCTGTACTGAGACAACTGAGGGTACCTTGGTCTCTTGAAAGCTGTTGGTTGAGGTGTTTTCAATTCCCAATGGAAAGGCACTGGTCGACTCTCTTCTGAACTTTCGACTTCTTCGCTCGAATCAGGATGCTTGTGCCTGGTTAATTTATTAATACTTTAGCAAGTTTGATATGATGGTTCATGAGTTACAAGCTACATATGAAGGCAGATGTAGACCACCTCTTAGACAGAGGTGACATGTGGTGGAAGATATGTAGTAATAACATTTGGAGATATATATGTAGAGGTGACATGTGAAGGGAGATGTGTAGAAGTTACATTTGGAGATAAATATGTAGAAGATACATTTGAAGGTAGATATGTAGATGATACGTTTACAGGAATACATGTGAAGTTACATGTGAGGTATACATGTGAAGATACATATGTAGAAGTTACATTTGAAAATGCATATGTAGATCATACATTCGTAGGTAGACATGAAAAGTTACATTTGAAGATGCATATGTAGAAGTTACATTTGAAGATACA